GACTTTAGCCTTCAATCGTCGAAATGATTTCGACAATTTTGACCATTTCAGATATCTGAAATGATCTATTTCGACTTCATGTATAATCTTAATACTATCAAGAAGTGGAAAAAATATTGCAAATAATTTGAACGTATGTTATTTTTATTTGATGTATATATCTCTTTTCAATCAATAAATTTTAACATGATTATATTTATTTTTCAGTTATAAATAATGTGTTTTATGCATATTTTTTTAATAAATAATAATTAGGAGGGTGGGATTTTTTTTAATTAGTAATAATAGAAGGGTGGGGAGGATTTTTTTACATTAAAAAAAAGTTTTTTTTAATTAGTAATAATTGGAATTTTTTTTACGTTAAAAAAAATTTTTTTTTAATTAGTAATAATAGGATAATAGAAGGGATTATTTTTTACATTAAAAAAATTTTTTGTTTAATTAATAATAATAGGAGGATAGGAAGGATTTTTTTTTTAAATTAAAAAAATAAGTTTTTTTTAATTAATAATAATAGGAGGATGGGTGGATTTTTTTTTCATTAAAAAAAAGTTTTTTTTAAATTCATAATAATTGGAATTTTTTTTTACATTAAAAAAAGTTTTTTTTTTTAATAGTAATATAATATAAGGGTTTTTTTTACATTAAGAAAAGTTTTTTTTTTAATTAGTAATTATAGGTATGTTTTTTTTTTTACATTAAAAAAAAATAATTTTTTTAATGAGTAATAATAATAGGTAATACAGTCGACCCTCTCTACTGTCACACCCCTTGGGACCAAAAATAAAAAGTGTGACTATAGTGAAAAGTGACTATATAGAAGGATTTTTTTAATAGTATTACTAAGTATTGGTTCCAAAATGATGTGATTATAATAACATTGTGATTATAGAAGGGTTTTTTATATAGTATTAATAGGAACTGGTTTTTATGAAAGGTGTGCTTATAACAGAGGATTTATATGATGTAATTGTATAGGGGGTGACTGTAAAGGGGGTCGACTGTATGATAGACATGTTAGAAGTGTCAGATTTGTCAGATTTGTCAATCATCTACACTATGTAAATCCTATCATATTTTATTCGTTCACAATATTAATTACAGTTTTCATCTTTATTTCTACGTTGTAAACTTCATATACTTATAGTTGATATATACAAGAAAAACATAAACGCGAAATCAAAAAAAAATAGAGTTTAAATTTATAATTGATTAAATTTGAATTATCATATTCAGATACAGAATTTTAAAATTTATTGTAAATTATGAAAACGGATAGTAAACGTAAAATGTTAATAAAAAAACAATTTTCTTTTTGATCTATAAAAAAATTTTTTTTTGCAATATTTAAAAAACTATTTTATTGTAAATGAATAAGATAAGTGACAAGTATAATAACAAATATTTGTTATACTTACCACCCATTTACTATGAAAATTTTTTTAAAAAAAACTTTTGCTTGTATTTCTTGTACTTCTTATTTTCAATGGATGAAAATATAATTGATATTTGTTTTAATAGATGAAGAAAAAAAAGGTTTTAATAAATAGGCTAAAAAAAAATTAAAAAGTTTATTATATGTAATATATATTTGCATTTAAGATTAACAGATAATACAATATTAAAGTTTTAAAATTAGCATTTACAATGATGATCTTATAGTAGTTATTTGAATAAATATTATTTGAGTTATTCATATATAAATTCAAAAATACTTGAATATAGACAAATTTTATTGAGTATTCAAGTATATTCGAATTACTCAAATAACTATTTAATGATTTCAATCACTATTTTGAGTTAATTATATTATAAATTATAATAAATTTTAATATTTTGATTTTATTTTCATAATTTAATTAATTATTATTGTTGATTTAAAGTTAAAAAATTACATAACATTGTTATTTTCATTAACCAATAAAATTTTATTAATATTAAAATTTGATCTACAAAAATTAGCCATGCTAATATGCTTATAAAGAGAATATGATTATATAAAATGTGATTATATAGGGGAATAACTATACTATAAATGAAAACCTTTCATTATATATGAGCAAAAAGAATGTTTAAAATTATCAATTTATTGTGAAATTTCTGTAAAAGGTCTTTTCAGATTTATTAAGTTCAAATAGATTTTATTACTTTAAGATTTCATAGCTCTAGGTTGATTTTTTTAAAATTATTCTAATCAGTCTTTCTACTACAGTACTTGTAAAAATTAGTCTTCCTTCTGTGTTAGTTGTGATCTAACTTGACTTTTTAATTTATAGCAGTATTCTTGACTTTTTCTTGTAAGTCAGCTAATCTTTGACATTTTCTTTTATGTTCATATTTATGATATACATCTCTTTTTTCAATAGTTATCTCTAATTATTTTTAATATCTCTTCTTACATTAGTTAGCAAAACACACTTCATATCTCATTTTACCTAAATTTTTACTTTTGAATAGTGTTTATATTAACAAACTTATCATTCATTTTTATATTGAATAATAGGATATGTAAACGAATTTGTAAAGAGAAAAGTTTAAAATTTATTTTATTATGAATTAAATATGGCTTATATACATAATTTTAAAATGTAATAAATATAACACAAAAAATTATAATAGCAATTTGCAAATTTTTTATTAATTTCAAGTTGTATTACATATTTTATTATTAACTATTGATATATTGAACAGTATTACAAAAATAATAAAAAAAAGTATCATACAATCATCACAATAATACTAATAAAACTAATTGATTAATATCACATTAGATTTACAATAGTTTTCATTTCCTAGTTTAATTAAATAAAAGTCACTTTTATTTTAATATATTGTAACCCAAATAATTTACAAATTGTAATACAACAAACAAAGATGATTAACATATAGATCTTTAGCTGAATTAACAATTGTATGATATGATAATGATCTACAAAAATTGAATTTACTAAAGCTAAAGGAAAAAGGGAATTTAATTCATAATGATATTTCACAAATTATATATATGTTAATAATATATTTCCTAAAATGAATAATGACAAGAGGAGAGAGGGGAGAGAAAATCAAAATTTTTAAAATTTTAATGATATCATTTTTGGTTTTCCTCTAAGTTAAAAGAAAAATAAATAAAGTGATAACTTAACCTATGATGAAACGTGTGATCAAACTAAAAATTAAAGATTCTAAAAGAGAATTTTAAGGAAAAGTAATAAAATAACAGAATTATTATAAAATTAAAATAAAAAATTATTATATAATTTTATGTAATATATTAGCGTTAGTAATTTAGTATAGAAATTTTATTATAAATAGTTAAAGATTTCAATTATGTATCTTTAGTCTTTATTAGTATATAAAAGATATAAAAAAAAACTTATTAAAGCTAATTTTTATCTTTGAGGTTATTATAAAATTATTTTGTTTATGCAACACATTTATTAATCATTTTTGTATCATTATTTGTCTTAATAATACTATTGCTAATAGTTTTGTGACATATTTATTAAACGCTTTTGTGATATCTTTATTAATTGTTTTAGTTACAATATTATTAATGCTTTAGTGATATACTTGTTAAGTAATTTATAATATATTTATTATTATCTTCATAATATCTTATTACAGCTAATTTTATAATTTATGAACTATTAATAATTTTTCAGTTGCATTTAACTATAATATTTTATAGTAATTTTATTATAAAATATTTTAAGTCATATTCAATCACAATTTATTAATAATTTATAAATTATGAAATTAGCTGTAATACTCTGAAATTAGTAAAATTAGAAAAGTTCTCATACTTCTTTAACTTAAAAATTCAATTGTGAGATTAGAACATCAAGTACATTAAATTTCTTAATTAATCAAAATAAGTCTCTTTTACATAAAGATTCTGAGCTAAATTTTATTGTTATTCAACCAACTACAGCTAATTTCATAATTCATAGACTATTAATAATTTTTCAGTCACAATATTTATAGTAATTTTATTATAAAATATTTTTAATCACATTCAGTCACAATTTATTAGTGATTCATGAATTATAAAATTAACTGTAAGTGTTTTAGTTTGCTTAATTACCAGTCATGTAACAATATATTAAATTATTATTTTTATATAATAATAATATTATTAAAATTAATATTTATCATTAAATAAAGAAATTAATATTTTTAGACAAATTTGCCTGATAAATAATCTAAAGAATAATAATAAATCTTTTAATATAAGTATATTTTTATATAGTCATATCATTTAATAATTCTAAGTGGTATAATAAGACACTAAACATATATGAAATAACTTATAATTTGGCTTTACTAATAGAGAAAGAACAAATTCAAACAAATATAAAAGTTCAAAAATTAGTTTTTTGCAAATATCTCAAAATCCACTAATTGGTATTTTTTTTTATAATATGTAGCTCTTAATGAGCTTTATTGAATAAAAAAAAACTTATTTAAATCGAATTATTAGATGCTAAGAAAAATAATAAAAACTAAAAGAATAAAAGTATTAATTTTGTGAGAAAAAATCTGGAATTCTGATGTAATTATAGAGGGATTGACTGTATAAGCAAATTTTTTAAATTTGTATTACTAATTTTATATATAAAATTACAATGATATTAATAACAAATATAATTAGCTAAGAAAATTTTACTGATTTTATTACAATAAAATTTTATTCATTAAATAAAAAACAATAGAACAAATTAAAAGAGTATTTTAAATTATGTATATTGGTAAACAAATAATACTTTTTGTTAAATAAAAAACTTATTAGTATGTATTTAATCAATTTCTTAATATTAATAACCTTTAAATTTTTCAGATTATAAAACAAAGCCATCTATCTAACAAAGTATGATTAGGCTAAATTATTCTATAATCCCGGCCAAAATTAGGAAAATTTTCATTAATCAAATCCGTTTTTATGGTATGCAAGCTGATAGAAATCCGATAAAACTACCTTTTACGAGTTGGAACCAAATTAAATGGATTCACTCACACTCTTGCTTGTTCCCAAAAATCGTAAAGTTGAATTTAAAATCGAGGTTATTATACAAGAATTAACTAATGTTCCACTAGTTACAGGTCTTTACTATGTAAAATGGAGGTTGAAAAATGGAGAAAAACCGAATGGTATGACTAGTCGGTAAATATAATTTCATAAGCTGTATTTTTTTTGAAATTATTAGCTATTCTTACTTTCCTAAGTTACTTTTGATAGAACATACATTAAGGATCATTCTGTTGTGTGGAACTATAAACTAGAAAAATTAGCACAAATTGTCATAGGGAAAGATGGTGTTTTGATGCCATATGAACTAAAACTTAAAATTAAACAGGTAAAATTTTCAATTTTTCAATTATTTTATTATTCTTCATGTTTAATAACTAATCTTCCTTTAGGAATTAAATGGAGGTAAAGAAATAAATAATATTGGAAAGTTATCATTGAATCTTTCTGAATATGTTGGATTAAATGCAATGATTCGTAGATACTTGTTGCAGGATAGTAAAATAAATTCTACTCTCAAAGTATAAATTTTTATCTTTTTTTTTTTTATAATTTATGCGATTAATTCTAAATTTTATTTTATTTTATTTTTTTTTTAAAAAAAGCTAACGATTAATATGAAACAAACGATGGGAGATACTGGCTATAAAGTGTGAGTAGCATTTGTTCTTTATAAAATATGGAAAATAATAATATTATTACTTTTTTTTAAAAAAAAAGTTACGCAAGTGTCTGATTAAAAAACGAAACTTTTCTTGCCGGATTAATATATTTTACAGACCGCCTCTCAAAAAAACGCATATTTTTGGAGGTATTGCGGGAATAATATCAGAACAAAGAGAACAAAGTGAACGACAAGACGACGAGAGATCAAGTTAGTTTTTATCAAAAAACAATATGTTTTTTTTTGTTTATTTAAATTATTCTTATTCTGAATCTTTCTTTATTAAGTTCCAACTTAATATTTGTAGCTCGTGCTTTTAGATCAAGCTTTAATCCACATTATATGAAGCGACCTCGTTCAAACTCCTCTCTTGTATGTATTCTTCCATATTACAAGTTCTATAAATTGTAGTAAATTGTTATAATATTCTAAATTAATTTAGAGATCGGCATTTTATGCACAAGCAACCCATGTTACTCCCATCACGTCATCATTAATGGCAAATTCTTTCCTTCGAAAAGTTGGAGATAAATCACCGACAGATGTGGTGGAAGAGATTTTCATGGGAACGGCTGTGTTACATGGCGATGAGGAAGAAAACGATGATGTGTCAAATAATAATGTAAAAAGATAGTCGGTCTATATCATACGCTTATGATTATGATTTTCAGACCATAATTATTATAATACGAGTGATATGCATCATTTTAACCACGTTTATATAAACACATTTTTGATTCTTTCATTCTTCCTTTTCAAGAGCATAAACAATTAATTCTTTTACCTAGTCCATTCTCTTTACAAATATTTATTTTGGGTTTATTATCTATCAATAGATCAGCAATAAATTCTTTTGATAAAGTCACGCGTTTAAGGAGAATTTTCCTTTTATTTTTGTATTTAGTTAGACCTTTCCTTTTACCCACGCCAAATCTTAACCCCCTTAATTTGTACTTGTAAATATAGATATTTGTATTAGACAATGTCATAAATGTCACAAGAGGGTGTTAACACATGGATCATAATAAACAAATTGTTAATTCAGACCGAATTATTTATTTTATAATTTATATAAATTGATTAAATGTTGGCATTTATCTACCTGTGATCATCAGGAAAAGGTTTAATTCATAAATTTTTCGAAAAGGTAAATATTTTATGATGATTTATGCAATAAAATTAAACACCTAAAATTTATTAATTGCATCAATGAGCTAATTTATAATTTACACAACATATTACTAAACTGCGCATTTAACTTTTACCTTAAACTGGCTCCCGCCCAGTTTTCACATCCCGCGATCTCTTGCTACGCATTACATCACTTTATCAGATATTATCAATCACGGGTAATATCTGATGAATCTTTTGCATTTATTTATTTCTTTTTAATTTGTGCGGAAATGAAAAAATTCTGAAGAAAAAAACAGGTAAATTTTCGATGTGAGAAAATCCCTTGTTTGTATTAGTGTAATGTTTCACTATGCCCACTCTTTCTTATTACCAATTAGTTTTTTAATAAATTTTTTGGATTCATATATATTGGTTTTACTATTGGTTATATTATTTTTTCCTGCGGAGCACCTTAGTAAGAGTTGGACTTTTTGGCCGTTTCGTGCGACTTGCACAAAATAAGTCACTCAAATTCTTCCCTTTCTTTCAAAAAACGATCTTAACCTCTTGGGCTTGATCCTTGCTATACCGTTTACGACATTGCTAGGTTGTTCTCTTCTCTTAATCCTTCCTTCAGTTCCTTCCCTTATAATCATTCCTCGAATAATCTACAAAAAACTCTTTTTTCACCACCCCTTTGTAAATACCTTTTCTGGTAGAAACTCGCATATTTTATATTTCCCAAAAAGACCTCAGGCTCTCGTGGTCCAAAGAGAATAGAACCTGTTCGTTAGACTGATAAATAGACCTTTGTACATCTATCTACCACGCACACAAAGTCCATATAAGAAAAAGTTTAGAAAATTTTTTATTACCCTTGTTTTTGTTAACATAAAAAATAATATAATTTTTTTTTTCGTTTTCTTTTTTTATTATTTATTTTATTTATTTGATTTTTTTTATTTTTTATTTTTTTTTTATTTTTAATTTTTTTTTTTTGGTTGCCTAGAATAATAATATTATACATTTAGTGTGTACAGATTCTTGCACGACCTTCCTGTAAATTTTTTTTTTTTTAACTTGTACGATATATTTATTTGTGTAAGTAAAAGAGTGTTTCTGTAAAGGTAAGGATACGAGTAAATTTCCTACAGTTCGGTATGTTTTATGATTTAACGATCGCTTTTTGGACAAGTTCTATTACCTAACGCTTTGTTTTAAATTTTATTCTTATTTAACGACTTCACTTTGGAAAAAAAAAAGATTGAGATATAAATAATGGAGGTATGGAGTATCTATTTTGAAATACAAACAATCCCAAATATGTCGTCGAGTTACAAATATTTTTGATTTTTTTTCTTACAAAGACTTATTCCTTTTTTTAAAAAAAATATAAATTTTATTCAAATTTTAGCAACAAGAAAGGCCTGTCGCCAATGCGTGGAAGATTGTAAGTAAAAATAAATATTATAATGTTTACTACTTTCGACATCTTTTCTCATCAAGCCACAAATATTGTGTGACACCAACATTTATTAAATAGCAATAGGAAAAGAGAGAAGTAATAAATAAAAAACCAATTGAAGCCACAAAATTGTCCTTTGACAATCGATTCAAAATGATATATTACCTTTTAATAACTATTTCAATATCAGACTATCTAATAGTATCTTCTTTTCTTTTATTTCACCTTGAATTCGTTTTTTAGCCCAAGTCAACCGCTGGTAGATCTGCTAGTCCTGCATCAGCATCGAATAAATCAATTAATGCCAATGGTAGTGAAAAGAATAGTCCTTCACCAGCATCAAATTCCCCGACTACATCGGTTAATTCAGTACAATATAATTGGAAAGTTGTTGGAAGTCCGCCTACAAATTTGAATCGGTCTATTCCACCTAGCCCAGATGAATTGCAGGGTTATATTGAAGACAATCAAGAGACAAAATTACGCAGAACTTCTAATAGTAATCCAACTACATCACAGCGTCATTTAAATGGGGGAGCTGATCTCGCCTCCAGATTACTTTCATCTAATTCACCACCACCTAAAATTCAAGGTGTTCCAAATGGAAATGGTGAAGGAAATAGTGCGAACGGCGGTAAATGGGGTGCTTTAGGAGGGTTACAATGGAGTAGTGCCACATCTATTTGGAATGAAAAGAATCAGTCACAAGTTTCTAGTTCAGGGTCTAAAACCATAACTCGAGCATCTCCCACTCCTCCTCCCGTTTCAAAAATCGATGACAATTCATCATATGAACGAGAGATGAGCTCACCTCCTGGTATCTCTGGAAAACTACCTGTTCCCGTTCCTCCTCATCCACAGTATCGTCAACACAGAAGCCTTTCCTTTTCGGTTGGGCAACATGATACTGATCTGTTTGGTTATGCTCCAACTTCTGCGTCTCGCCGTGATAGTGAAGGTGGCTTACGGTTTGCATATCGACATTCACTTCCCGTTATGGAAGAAGAAACTGATGATATGTCGCAGTTCAATATGAAATTCCGTGGAAGATCAAAGTCTTCAGCTGCAGCATTTATATCAGGTCATGACATTAATGATTACCGTCGTGATTCTGAACAGTATTCAGAATCTGGGTCAATTTGGAATAATCAAGGATCACAAAGCGATGGTCCAATTCTTCATCACAGACGTTCTGTACCAAGTACTTCTGATTATGGTATGTGGGATAGTTTGAATGCTACAAGACAACCTACGCCAGCTTCTTCGTACCTGACAGTTATGGGTTTACCGTCCGATCGCGAGCGACTGGAGAAAATGAGGCAACGCCGATTTTCACTTTCACAAGTTCCCTCATATGGAAACGACTATCAGTATATTAATGACAGTCAAGATTTGCGAATGCTTAATCATCGGTATAATATAAATTAATGATTATTGTATTATAGCTTGATTATATTATAAATTAATATTAGATTATTTTATGTAATATTTGTATTACGTACTTCATTTTTAATAGAACCGCGATCGATCCAGCATTTGCACACCTTGTTCAAAGACGTCATTCGGTTGCGGGACCAGCAATTTCTTTTTCAACAAATCAACCAACGAGATATATATCTGAAGCTTTGGAATCTCTTCATTTAACTAATGTACCACAGGCATCATATACCAATGATACAGGGTATGCAAGCATTCCGGAGGACATTGACGACTATTTTGATAACGACGAACATCGTGCCAGAGCATGGAATGAACTTGGAAAAGGTCTTCCGCTACATGCCGTTCCAACACACGGACCACTCTTTCTTGTTGAATTTAAAGCAGGTCGTACAGATTTGTTTTATGTAGCAGAAAATAGTGGAGTTATGGTTAAAAAAGGTGACCTTGTTATAGTCGAGGCAGATCGTGGCAAAGATCTTGGAAAAGTCACCAACGATTCGATTATGCCTCATCAAGTTCAGATGTTACAACAACAACAAGCTGATGCTATGAATGATGGACATCGTATGAATAAAGAGATTCACCCAAAACGTATTTATCGGTTGGCCCAGCCTGCGGAAGTCACAATGTTAGTAACAAAGAGTCAAGATGAAGCAAAAGCCATGTTGGTTTGTCAAACAAAAGTTCGTCAAAAGAAATTACCAATGGAGGTTGTCGATGCTGAATATCAGTGGTAAGTGGGTTTATGTCTTTAAATCTGTTTATATAAATAATGCTAATATTGTAAGTGTTGTGTATTAATATTGCAGGGATCGACGCAAACTTACGTTTTATTTTATTGCTGAGCGTCGTATTGATTTCCGTGAATTGGTCCGAGACCTATTCAAAATTTACAAAACACGTATTTGGATGTGTGCTGTTAATCCTATGATAAATAAGCCTAAGAAATAAAACCATAATGAAGAATCTCCATATTATTTTAAATTTTACGGCCTTAAAAATTTGTATATTTTTCTTTATATATCTGTCACCATTATATTACATCAAGAATGACTTTGTAATATTTATCATATTTCTTTTTTTTTTTTAAAAGAAAAAAAATAGGTTCATTCCATAATTTTCAATATTTAGCCAAAAAAAAAAAAAAAAAATTATTCTTTCTTTGTATCTATATTTTTTTACTTTGTAGTTAGAAGCTATAGATCCGGATACGTCTTTCATTATTTTTTTTTATTAATGGGTCATTTTGTGTAGCTTCATGCCATATATATAACTTTTTGTTTCTATATATATTATTACTTACACTTTATAGTTTTTATATTATCATCCCCAAGATGTCCCAACCATCTAAAATTTTTTTTTTTTTCCTTGTTTTTATTACAGTAGACATAATATTGTAGAAATTTTTTATACACGGGGATTTTATTTGGAATACAATCAATATATACACATATTTTTTTTTGTTTGGATATTCCGGTTGGGAAATACAAGTGAAAGATAAAGTATAGAAAAATAGGAAATCCTTTCTTGTGTTATATTAAAATAATGTTTATTTTATTTTATTTTATTTTCTCTTCCTCCTTTCGCTTCGTTGTCGGATATTTTTTTTATTTTACATTTTTGGTCAAGTTTTAACAAAATATAACGAAATCTCCCACATTTACACTCTTTATTATATTCCGAACACGAAAAATTCGCGAAAATTTTATTATATAACTTTTTTATTTTATTATTTTTTTTTATTTTATTTTCTTATAAATTAGTACTTAAAACAATTGTGTATACAAAAAACAATGCATTCGAATTATTCAAAAAAAATTTTTTTTTCATATATTATTTGAAATGTGTTACGACTCACATATATTACCAACTTTAAGTTGGCTTTATTTTTTTTTTCTTTTGTAATTTTTTTATTTTGTTGTCATTTTTGAAAGATGTTTGATTATATAAAGAAAGAAGAAAAAAAAATCTTTGTATATTTTTTAGATCAAAAAGTTTTTGAACACGTGTTTTTTGTGTTTTTTACCTGTAATTACACAAATATTATATATTAATTGAGCCTGGATCGATCTTTGGGAAGTAGAATAATCAGTAATCACATTTATATCACATATTACAATTACCAAATACCTGGTTGATCTAAATAAAAATATCAAAAATATAAATCAAAGTTCAAAATGAAATAATCATCTTTTTGAACAATGGAAGATCTTTTCTCTTTTAATAATGACGATTATGTTAAAGAACGATTAAACGAACTCATAAATCAAGTATCAAAGTTATATTCATCTAAAAATATTATTGCGCATTATCTCGATCATTTTAAAAGAAAAGCAATCCTTACAAAACTTGATGATAATGCTCCTGAATCAGTAAAAAGAGTAAGATATTATTATTATTACTATTGTGTTATCCTCTTATGATGATTTCATAATTTCATATTTCATTTATGAACTTGTAGGTTGAAAAAGCATGTAATGACTTTGGAATTCATAATGTATCTAGATTTTATCATGTAGAATCAGATTATTATAATTGGGAACTTCAAAGGAGAGCGTAAGTTTACATATCCAAGTGATAATTTGACTGTTAATTAATTATATTAATTACCCTTATAAAAGATAGGTTCCGTTTAATTGCCCCTTCAATAAATCATTTATGTAAAAGTGTCATTTTTGAAAATACTCGATGTTCTCACGATTCTATTGATGATCCATTAAATTCAAGATATTATTGTGTTATAACTCAGGTAAAATATATTTATTTATTTATGGTTTTTTAATGGTTTTTTTTCCTTTTGACTTATTGTACCGCTTTTACTAGTATGTTGGATCTATTAATACACAAAAACTCTTGAATTTTGTAAGAACATTGAGACATAAACAATTAAGTAAAAAAAATTACAATTTTCGCGTTGCTGATGAAGAAAAATCAATACAATTAACAGGATTTGAAAGCAATGGTGTTTCGCCTATTGGGATGACTTTTCGAATTCCGATAATATTAACAAACGCTATAACGGAATTACAACCACCTGTCTTTTATCTTGGTGCTGGGCATATTGATTGGAAATTAGCATTACCAATAAATTCTTTTATCCATGCAACGAATTGCTTTATAGCTGACTTATCATAAATATTATTTAAAAAAAAAAAAAATAAAAAGATTTAAATATTTTTACTTTGTACAGAAAATCTTTCTTCGATTTCATTATTTACATATTAATAATTATTCTAAATTTATATATATTTATCTAATCTAATACTATTTTTCTTTTGTTACGTTGCTTGCTATATACAAAAATAAAAGACCTACTCTCAAATTCGTTTCTTTTATTATTATTATTATTATTATTACCACCACTATTATTATTATATTTACAAAGCATTATATAAATCGCGGGAATTATAACGACCTGACAGCGTGCTAATCCTTTAAATTAAAGTTCTGGTCTACACAGTATCTCATATATATTTGTTTTAGAGGAAAAAAAAATATAACAATTATTTCCAGGACAAAGCTTCTTTAACTCAAACAATAAGTCCGGCGAAACTGGGGAGAGGAGTTCTAATTGCTCCAAATGGAGTTACGGTTGGCCATATAATAATCTTTTGGACGCTCACTTGAAGTGGCTCGTCTTCGAAAGGTTCTTTAAATCGCCGCCAAATAGAACCCGCAAGCCGATCCAAATGAAAAGGTTCGTCTTCCATCTCGGCCATTAGCAGAGCCTCTTCACCCCAGCCAATACAGGATGTGAGCTAGAGATTAAAGGAAAAAAGCCACAAAGGTGGTTTATTAAATGAGCAAATGTGCACAAACTTGGGGAAAACAAAGTTTGCTTACTTCTTTTTCTCTACGTTCTCGTGCCTCAATTCGGCAATTGTTGAGGAATTCACGGCGCTTTTCTTCTTCTTCTTTCTTTCGCCGTTCTTCTTCAGCCTTAAGCTGTTGCTCTTCTTGCCTTTTTTTGGCGGCCAACCTCTGTGCCTCCTCTTTTGCAGCCTTTTCTACCATGAACTTCATGATCTCATTTTCAAGATGTTGAATGACTTCTTTATTTTCTTCTTCTCTCGTAGTAGTTAGCTTTTCAGTTTGTTCTTCGTCCTCGTTGAATTGGGGGACATCTTGATCTTTTTCTTTTTCTTCTGGTTTTGATTCCTCTTGGGGTTCTGGCTTTGGCTGTTTTGGTTTAGCATCACACCATGATGGTAATGGTTTTATCTCAATAGGACCGGTTTCGAATCCTCCGTCATATAATTTTGGTTTGGCTTTATTGGTCGCAATTTCTACTAGTTTCTTAGGTTTTGGTTCTTCAAGCGGAGGAATTGGTGGTATGTGTGGTTCTTTCCGTTTATAAGCACCATATTTCGTTATCGTTCGATAGCGTGTATTTTGTGTCGATTTTACATTCGATTTTGCGTTACCAGATGTTGTACTGTCACTCGTATTTTGTCTTGCAGCTGGACGAATCCTAGTATTTGCTCCGATAATTTCGGTCGGTCTTGCTGTACGTGATACGTTGATTCTAGTATTTTTATTAGATGAACCTCCGTAATTCAAATGGATACGACTTTCTTGATTTCGTGGAGGAGATGGAGATCTACTTGGCACCTTATCTAACTCTGCAGCCATTATTCTCGCAAGATCGTCACCATTAACTTCGAAACTCCGGTTTGTTTGCATCGCGTCTCGATTATTCAAAATTTCGTGCATTGATTTGATATCACTATTCCTTGATCTAGTAGTAAGTTTATTATTAATATTTGTCTGATCTAATTGCTTGCTAACATCATCTGGCATATTTCGCAATATCTGTTTTCTCAATAACTCCCGTTCTTCAATGGAAGGATCTTCGCCTTCAATGATCTTTAATCTAGCAAACGGTCGATTTGGGATTGAATGATTTTTAGTATCTGTACTTAAATTTTTTGTCTGCTCTTTTGATCGTTCGTTGAAATATTGAGAGACATCTTGAGAGGAATCTCTCCTCATCACTTTATTTAATCGGGTTTGTGGCTCTTTAGGTTGAACCGGTTTGGGAACCTTAAATGATCCAGTTTCTTGAGATTTGAATGCTATTGATGTGGTTTGTGACAAATTTTCTATGCGATTCTTTCTTTTTCTCTAATATTTCAGAAACAAATAAATTTTAAATTGATTAGTTAAATCACGTCACAACTATATATAAATATATTATAATTTATATATATAATTCTTTCATTTTACCTTAGCTCCTGTAATTTTCGTTAAAGAAAACGAGAAAAGTACGTGTCGTAAAGTTATGATTATTGCGACATGGAAACGTATACAAGCAACATAAATTATAAAGAAAAAAAAAGAGAGAAGAAATAATCAGATATACATCATTGTAAAAGAGTATTTGGAAAAAGCAAACCAACCGAACGAAAATATTTTATTATGTAAGCAACGTTGATAAGAGTAAGACTCAAATATCAACTTTGAATACAAAGGAGGAACAAAAATAGCATGAAAACCGTAACGTAGAATCGAAAGTCCTTCTCCTTTTCCTTCAATAATAAACATAGTAAATGCACAAAGATAATAAAGTAGAATAAAGTAGCATGAACTATAAAAATTCATATAAAGGATAAAGAAGCGAAAAAATCCTATATCATTCCCATCGAAAGCAAAATATAGCTCCAATAACGTTAAAAAAGTAAGATATTGAAGAAAAGGAGAAGAATTATAAAGGGTAATTGATTCTAAACAGTGTCGTCACTACCTGAATCTTCCGATTCTGAGCCAGATGAATCTGAACTCTGACTATCAGATGAGTCATCATCAGAAGTATAGTGGTTTTCAGTAAAAGCTGTTAAAAATAAAATAATTTTAAAATTAAGAATGTTAAATAAATATAGGTAACATTCAGGGAAAATTGTAATATATACCATCATGAGAAGGAGAGCCATTAAATTTAGCTAACGTCCTTTCCAAAGCGAGGATCTTTTGATTTTGTTCCTCTTCATTGGAATGTTTGCGTGCTTTTTTTGCTGGTGGTGGACGCCTTTTTTGCTTATTGATTCGTTTCGACACGAAATCGAATACTTTCTTGGCTGTTTTCACATCAAGTGTTTCTATTTCTATTTCATAATTACCACCATCTCTCTAAATTATTGGTGGTGGTACACAAGTTCACGTGTAAAATCACGTGGATTGTTATTAAAATCACAATAGATTTTGCAAACGTTTTATAAAACGAGTGATAATTTTACCTGTAAAGGTGCTCCGCTTTCATATAAAAGATCAATGAGCTGATTCATGTCGTTATCAGCAAGAAGTTCGATACTACTGCTAAGAAAAGCTTTTTGATCATTAGAGAGACCTTCATCTTCACTACGTTTCCCGCCACGAGGACGCTTTAGAGATTTCTTTTCGACGTCTACTTCCATAGGATCGTTAAAACTACCATTCTTGCTAGTCGATGCCTTACCACTTCTAGACTTTTTGGATTTACTCTTTTTAGGGTTGCTTATTTGTCTGAGTTGGCTTGTTAATGTGCTTAACTGCTTTTGTATTTTTTTGAGTCCAGGATCTAATAAATAAGCGATTAAAGATTAATGTATAAATTTATATTAAACTGAAGTGAATATATGAACATAATTATTACTTACTTGGAACCTCATCATCATCATATTCTTCTTCAGAAGAACTGTCTGTATCGGAATCATCATCCCGTGATACTTTCGTTTTACCTTTTTGTTTACTTTGAGGAACAGGTTTTTCGGTCCATTTTTTATTGAAAATGGCTTCCAAAGTTTTACCCATGTTATAAACCTCGCTTCCGACTCCATTATATGTATAGCAATTGCGGAACATCAGACGGATATCATCTTCAAATTCTTCCGCGCTGGCGTATTGATCATTCTCTAGCTTTGAATTGATGGTAGCTAGATCCATAGGCTGTTTTATGACCTTATAATAATCTGGAACTCCCAACTTTTCAGCATCAACAGGTTCGTAAAATGGATAAGCGTAAGGCCAATGTGTTTTCTTCTTAAGTTCACGAAGAACACTACGACAGAAATTAAGTTCAATGTTCTTTTTGGTCTTCTTGCGACGACCAGATTGAGGTGCTTCGGGAAGATCTTTGGCAGGCGCCTTTATTATTCTTTTAGGACGAGACTCATCAATAGTCAAGTTTACAGTCGATGATGGTGATGATACTGGCGCTGCCGCCGCCGTCGTCACCGCCGGCGCAGCAGTAGATTTTACAGACTTTACCGCTTTAATAGAAGGTTCTGTCAAAGGAGGTTTGACCTATAAGTAGAGAACAAATAAATATGAATATTTTTTTGTGTTTATCTTAATGTTTACGTTGAAAGTCACGATAACAACAAAATATATTTACCTCCTTTTTACCTCCAGGAAAGCTACTAAGTTGTGCGTTGAATAAACTTTCTAATTCTCTAGCTTGTTGAGAGACGGGATGGTCTACACCATTATAGAGAATACAGTTTGAAAATATAAGTCGTACATCAGACTCAAAATCTGCTACGGTAGTATATTGAAGTGCATTAAGTTTGGCTTCTACAGTTCCGAGGTCCATTGGTTGTTTAATAATGTCGAAATAGTCAGGTATGCCGTATTTGATTGCGTCAACAGGTTCAAGGAAAAGCCCAGCCGAAGGATGCTTTTTCATTTCCTTCAGAGCAGCAGTACAATATTTTAGATGTTTGCGAGCCATACTCTTAGAGAACCAATCATTTTGCTGATTTTGTTGTAGTTCAACACTAAATGAAGGAAAAAAACGGGAAAAAAAAATAAGTATAAAATCATGATATCTTTAAATAATCAAGTGGAGTCGTTGGGAGAGAGGAAGAAAAGAAGTTTATTTCAAAAGTTTAACACCTTATTTGTAGTATAAACGTGTAAAGTTTAAGGTATTTAAACAATTTATCTACCCAAAAAATTTCGTGTTTATTGGTATAAAATTTTTTTTTATTGTTTGTAATATAGATAATACACAATAAGGTTTCTTCTTCACAATGTTACTTTGTTTAATAACAAAAGATTCATTTACTTACTTCGTCTCAATATTAGGTGTAGCATCACTCTTTGTGGTTTTAATGGGCTTTTTAGTTGCTCTGCGCATTTTGAAATGTCGTTACAAGAAAGTTATTATCGTAACAAGAAATTTTGATAAAGTTTATAAGGATGAAGGTAGTGTTTGAGGATTTTTTTTTAAAAAAAAAAAAAAATAATAAAAAAAAAATAAATCGCTTTCTCGTTTTTTCACGAAATGAAAAAAAAACAAGAAAAGAGTTGTAGAGGTGTTACCTTCCGATGAGTTATTTTATACCACGACAAGATTAATGACATATCATATTATTTATTAAATTCTTAATAATCACTTAAAAAAAAAAGACTCGGATTTTAATGGATGCTCCAACAAACCGTTTTATACCTCATAAGTTAATCGTTGATTTACTAATATGAAATGTAATAAGAAAAAATAAATATTAAAGAAATATTAAAATATAATACAGTCAAAGCTCGTTATAATGGATCCGATTTGGCTTTAGTGAACATTTTTTTATAAAATTTCGATATTATATATAGTGAACATATAAATTTATATTCGTTATAGTAAATGTCACGTGAAAAAATATTGTGCAATATTTGTAGATCATTTTTTATTTAAAATTCGATATTGCATTTATTATTATCACACATTTTCTTTTTCTCAAAAATGCTACTGATAGAAGAGGCAAAGAAAAAGAATCAGTAAAAGAAAAGCTTATTATTTGTAAAAAAAAAAAAAAAAAAAAGAACTATATAAGTAGAAAAGAGATAATCCATCATAATTAAAAAGATCTTGCTAATATATCAAAGTCATAAGTTTGTAAACTATTAAAGAAAAGGATAAATGATTATCTATTGATATTACAAATAAGGATTTTAAAATCAAAAATAGGATAAAGATGTTAAGTTTTTATAAGTAGAATATGTGAATTTAACAAGCATTAGCTTCAAATTTAACAATTATAGGAAAACAAAAGCTTTGAACTTTTCAATTAAATTGCATATAATATTTTTTATTACTTTAGATAAATGGTTATTAAAATTTAAAAAATGGCATAATATAAGACAAATTAATAAGACTGATAAGATAAATATTATATTATTAGAAACATTTGAAAAAGAATATTGTAATATTTATAATATTGACAAAATAAGTAAATATAAGTATAATTAATAATATATTTTTTACTATTAACTTAATATTTTTATTAGCCTTATATTAAAATATAGAATATTCAAAGATACTTTTAGATGATATTAAAGATAAGCATCATAATTAAGAAATTGCAACTTGGTATGTTGCAACTTCTTGTAAATTTATTTTAATATAAAAATTCATAAATAGTTGCAACTCAAAGTATTGCAACTTAAGTTGCAACTAGTTAAAAATTTTAAAAATAATTATGGAAACCATCTTTAGATGGTACTAAAAAATCAAAATTCATATTACAGTTGTTTTAACTTATAATATCATTAAAAATTATAGATTATATATAAATAGTAAACTTCTTATATTTTAAAAGGAATTAAAAAAGATAATTTACCTATTTGATATTAATAGATCATATAATTTGAATATAAGTTTCAGTATAATGTAATTATCTAAATAAACTTAATCAAATTAATAAATAACAAAATTAAAATATGGAAACGTTTCCAGTAAAATCAAGTTATGAGGCATAGTAAATCATATGATCCGTAATGTGATTTTACTGGAAACACTCCCATATATTAATGGATGAAATTGCTTAATTATTTAAAATTATCAAATGTATTAATACATACGAAAATTATGCTGCAAGACTATATAAATCATATAATCAAAACGTGTAATAATCCAAATATTAATATATATTTTTTCCATTTAATACAACCACTTATTTATAATTATTAGATGTTAGTATTATCAGTAATTTTAATTTAAGAATAAAATTGTTACATATATTAAATTTATTTTATATTTACTAATAAAATTATAATTTTATAGGCTTAGTATAGAAAGCTATTAATTACGAATAAAGTAGAAGCATTTGACTTATTTTAAAAAAATAATTCTAAAGTAATATTTCGTATGAATTGGATTAAATTGGATTTAGATAAAATCTGATTTGATTTAAATTTAAAAATCTGAATCTGATTTAATCTAAATCTAATAAATTTGAATTCAAATCAATAGATTAAAAAAATTTTAGTTTTTAATAATATAAGCTAGGGTTCCTCAAAATCGAATCAAATCAAATATTTAAGCAATTTGAATTTGATTTGATTTTTTCAAATCAAATTAAATTGAATTGAATTAAACTCAAATATTTGATCGAATCAATTTGAATCAATTTGAATTTGATCAAATCGAATCAAATTGAATCAAATATTTGT